ATCAGAAAAAGGTCTGTAACTTGGCACCGGAAGTGATTTTCCAAAAAATCTCTCAGATGTATCAAATCCATTCAACAACACATCTGTCCTGAAATTTTCATGTAATTCCATCCAGTAGTCTTTGAGAAATTGCGTCAGAAAAATAATAATAATAATAAGAAACAATAGAATCGCTATAAGGTCTTCCGTTAAGACGGAAGACCTTAATAATAATAATAATAATAAGAAACAGTAGAATCACTATAAGGTCTTCCGTGAAGACGGAAGACCTTAATAAACGTATTTTTCAAAATTGAAGAGTTCCAACTTTCTGATTGGTTGACTAAAAACAACAAATTAGCATATTTTACCATTACGGCGATATTTCGACGAGTTTGCCCACGGGTGATAAGTAAAGATGAGATCACCCGTGGGTTTCCGACGATGCTGTAACAGGAACTGAATGAAAATGCAATAAATCTCTCCAAATACATAATAATTTTCTCATCCAAAATATTAAGAAACAAAGCCATGAAATTTCAGAAAGTATATCAATGTGGCCTACTTTTGGTTGATACAATGAATGTACATTCCAAGATCTTCGGATTTTCAAATACATGTAACTGACAAGGTTTGATGGTCTAAAGATTAAGTGTGCAAAATAAGCGCCTAAACCATTTGCGTTAAAACCTGCAATATTAAAAATGCTAGGCATTGTGACGGGTGTTGCTAAAACGCGGAACGGAAAACGGAACGGAAAGCGGAACGGAACGGAAAACGGAAATTTTTTTGTCAAACAGATAACAAAAGATTCGATATAAATCAGATAAAAGAGCAATATTCTTGTTGTAAAAGTCATTTCTAATAAAAATGTATTGTAAACTATCATATATTTATGAGTCATATACACCCTCCTTGGAAAAATGGTACTGAAAGAAATTGGACCCCCCCCCCCCCTTTACACACACACGAAATAGGATTTTTGTGTTTGGGCAAAGGACATATCCCCCCTTTTTTTTGTGCTTGACAAGTCAAATTTTTTTGTATTTTGGAAATTTTTACTGAACCCCTACCTCCTCTATCAATTTGTTTCAATGTCTGTATAAAGACAATAATAACTAGTTATGATATTCAGATTATGCACGCAGTGTCGAATTCGTGAATCATGAGAGGGGGGTCGAGTGGCAGTTTCGGGTCTGTGTAGGGGCCCACAGCCACATTAAAAATTGATTTATTATACCTTATATATAAATATTTTGGACAAAAAAAGCGGGGCAGATCTATTACAAATTCTCGGACCTTTCCGATGAGCGGGAAAACAAACTCGTATTTTACGGGGTAATTCCTATACACCCCCCCCCCACAACATACACACAAAAGTACCGCAAACAAACGAAAGTTAACTTCACTGAAATTCTGCATTATATCTACCACATGAAAGTTTTCCAACTTTGTCTATCCGGAATTTAAATATTAAAAGAAAGCGACTCTATTTTGAAGAAAATTTTAACAACCAATGTGTATAAGATATGCTTATTCGAGTTTGTCGTAAAGGTTTGCCCTGAACGTAATTTTAATAAATTTGCTTTAATTTACATTTTATTTCTCTTTCCATGGTTCATCTAGATATCAAATGCCCCCCCCCCCCCCCCCCCAGTCGTACCTTTTTACTAAGGAAATGTTCGTTCAAGTTAACATCCTCAAAGTTTTAGTACTGAAAGATGTTATAGTTGGAACTTCCCCCCCCCCCCCCCCGAAAAAACCATTGTCTTCTTTTTGTGATTTTGCTTGTCAAATACTTTTTAAGTTCGTCCCCCCTTTCAAATTCGATTCTGAATGACCGCTATGTCAGCGATTTTCGTATAGAAGAGACTGGGCAACAACATCAACTTGTATTTAATTGTGGGGGATTGAATGTGTATAAGATATATCGTTTATGATAAAATTTGTGTATTTTAAGTGATTTAATCCAAAATAATATATTCCGTTTTCCGTTCCGTTCCGCTTTCCGTTCCGTTTTCCGTTCCGCGTTTTAGCAACACCCCATTGTGACCTACAGAATAACATTATTAAATGAAAATTGTGCAATCTGTAAAATAAAAACAAGAGGCCCATGGGCCTTATAGGTCACCTGATCATCATGCAACAACTTTCAAATGATTGAATTTGGTTCATAATTTTAGCTAGATGCTATGGCATTCACAAATTTGAAAGAGGCACAATTGCTAATCATAACTATACACTTAGCAAATGTTTAGTTTGTTTACTCAATACCCATAAGCAGGGTAAGGGAACAAAATGCATGTCAACAATTAATCAGTAATATTCAGCAATAATCAGGAGTGTCCCTACCACAAATGAACCCCTGACCCTAGATCTACAAATTGCACAATTTTTGAAAATGCACACTTGCTTATCAAAAGTGTTTCATTGATACCAAGGAGCAGATTTCAAACAATTCATTTTTAGTAAATAAGTAGAGCCCCCCCCCCCCTTTTGGTATCCCTGACCCAGGGGCCTTGAAATTAATAATTCAGGAAGAAAAGCCCTTGCACATCATAATCATATAATCATATATATCATATAAATAGTTCATCTGCTTATTACCTAGGAGTAGAGAAAAGATTTTTATAGATATTATGTATTTTCACTATAAATCATTATAGAGCCACACCCTAACACCATTACCCCTGACCCTGGGGCCATAAAATACACAATTTTGGTAGAAGCTTTCTTGCTCATCATAACTATGTCCTTAATTGGTTTATTTGATACCTAGGAGCAGAGAAGAAGCTTTTCAAAGAATAAATGCATTTTCACTATATAATCAATAGAGCCCCGCCTTAACACCAGAATCTCTGACCCAGGGGCCATAAAATTCACAATTTTTGTAGAGACACTCTTGCTCATCATAACTATGTACTTAATTAGTTTATTTAATACTCAGGAACAGAGAAGAAGATTTTTAAAGAAATAATGCATTTTCCCTATATAATCAATAGAGCCCCGCGCTAACACCATAACCCCTGACCGTGGGGCCAGAAAATTCACAATTTTAGGAGAGGCACTCTTGCTCATCATAACTATGAACTTAATTAGTTTATTTGATACCCAGGAACAGAGAAGATTTTCAAAGAATTAATGCATTTCACTATATAATCAATAGAGCCCCGCCCTAGCACTAGAGCCCCTGACCCTGGGGCCATTAATTTCACAATTTTGGTAGAGGACTCAATGCTGATTACAATCATACAAACATTTTGACTGCTTTATGTCCAGGAGTAAAGAATATTTTTGAAGAATGCAGTAATTTTAGTGGTTTTTGCCCCACCCCAGGCCCCAGGGACCATGAAATTCACAATTTTTGTTCCCTTTCAACCACAGATGCTATATGCCGAAATTGGTTGAAATATGGTTCAGTGATTTCAGAGAAGAAGCTGAAAATGTTTAAATCTTAGCGCACGACGACGGACAAAAAACAGATTGCAATATGTCATCTGAGTTTACTCAGGTGACTATAAATAATTATATGTAGTCCACTTCATTGCAATTTATTTACCATTAAGCTAGCAACATTTGGTAAAATTGTAAGAAACGCAATTCTTAATTAGATTAATTTATTTTCTTAATTTACATCAATCTGTAATCTCAGATATTGTACTTAAAACAATCCATTTCTATCATCTGAAACCAGGAGTAAAAGCTATGATACTTTAACCTTTGATCTAGTAATAGGTTGAAGTCAAAATATTAATCCATGACCTATGATAAACATGATGCCCTGTACTCTCCTTTGCTATACATGTACACTGTAGTAACAAGCTTATTCAGAGAAAAAGAACAAGTCAGGAGCTGAAAAGGTGGGGGGGGGGGTCAAGGGTGTACACTTTAAGGAGGAGAAGCAGGGCAATAGGGGGTTATGGTTAAAATTAAAAATTGCAAAGACTCACAAGCTTCCTAAGATACATGCATCACCCAGAAATGAAAGTTTTACACATACACACAGAATGTATGATTTAGTACAATTCTCAGGTAAGCAAGTCATTCTTGGCGCACCGTTAAATTAGCGTCATCAAATAGTGATCAGATTTTCATTGGTTAAAAAATAAATCACATCAGAAACTTTAAAATGTTGTTGACAAAGATGAGACGACTTAAGCCCCACTTCTGTACCGTGCGAGAACTTGTAATTGGCTATTTGACACACCAGTTGACATTCACCTGAATTTTTATCCTTTGTTATTTCAATAGTGAGGGAAAACTCTGTCAGAGGCTAATTATGTAGCATCAAAATGCAATGCCTTACTAAAAGTCCAAGCTTATCTGGGAATTGTTCTAATGACCTTGACCTCTGTTCCTCAAAATAAATAGGGGACTTCCTTCAGCAAAGAGCATTTTATTTCAAAAGCTCAAAAGCTTCTTGGAAAGTATTACAGTGTACAGACAGAAATACAGACAGACCCTATAAATTATACAATGTATTTCCACACTTTCAGTGAATATGGAGGACAACAACTTCAAATGTGTACCTCAAATTTCATTAAATTTTGAAAATGTGTACCAAAATTTTCTCTAACTACCTTGACCTTTCAATAAATTTTATGAGTTCTGACAAAAGCTTTCAATGAAGCCAATCATGTACATTGTATTGTAAAGGTTAAAAGGATATACCTCCAACAAAAGAAGTTAAACGAGATAATTTTACATTAGAACAGTGAACGATATGTTAACATTTGTGTAACTTAGATAAAAAATATACAGTGTTTGTACTCATTTAGCATCTACAGGAATCTGCAAGATTGTAAAATTGATTTAAGAAAAGCAAAGTTGAAAAGAAAAAAATCAAGTTAAAAAAAGTGTATTACTTTAAGACACAAAACAAGTTTTTGTACACCTACAAATAAAATTACTTTTCATATACATTTTATTTTCCTTTGAGAATCGTTTTTTCAAATAATATGGTATGCACATATCTGATTTTTACACCTTTGCAAGACTTCAATCACTTCAATTCAATCTGCTTATATGTTGATGTACATCTGATGTACATTACGCTTGTGGCGGTTCAGGGCACCCAGACTACCAAACACTCCGTTGCAGACTTGACATTTTTGAGTGTCCGGCCTCTCGTGTACCTTCCTGTGTATCAGCAAGTAACTTTTCTTAGAGAACACCCTGACACACAGACCACACTCGTGCACAGAACTCCTGTCAGGAGGGTGCGTTAGTGTCCCAGAGTTTTTAATTTCTTTCACAGTGTGGGCTCTTATATGGCCCCACATACTTGAAATTTGTTTGAAAAGCCTACCACAGATGTGGCAAAGGAACTTAGACCTTCTCGATTTTTCCGGTGCCTTTGTGTGACTTTTCATGTGTTTTCTCATTTTTGTTGGTAGTTTGAACATAATTCCACACACAAAGCAAAATCTCTTGTGCTTTAAGTCCTGAAACGTCATTTGGTGATGGTCTAACCATTTTTTGTATCTAAATTTCTTCCCGCAGACAGCGCACTTGAAAGATTCAGATTGATTCCCAGGATTCATAGCGTGCAGAGTTTTTTTCTTTGAACAGGATTTTCTTTTATGCATTATGGGATCTTTTTTCTTGTGGAGAACAAATCGGTAATGTTTATCAAAGTCCAGGTGACAACCATCACAATGAAGTTCTGGTTTGTAATGTAACTGACTATGAATATCAAGCTGATGACAATAAGTGAACTTTTTACTACAAAACTTACAAGAAAAGCCGTTCGTGTCTGCATGACCCTTTATGTGGAGCCTAAGATTTCGGTTTTGACTAAATGTCTTCCTGCAGATAATGCAGATTTTTTCTGTGCTAGACACATGACTATTCATATGTGATGTCAAGTGAATTAACTTAATGAATGTCTGTGAACAAATCTGACATCTGTAGACTTTCTGGGCCATCCTACATTTCAACAGAGTTAATTTAAGCTTAGTGCGCTCTTCACATTTTGTGCACATAAAACTGACACTCTTTTTCTTCCCATTTTCCTTGCTTTGGAGCTTAACATTTTCTTTGTGATCTAAAACTTTCTTTGCTTGCATTGACAAACACTCATTAGGCTCATAAATCTTTCCCTGTGTTACGTTGTTTACCCTTTTATTTCCTGCTTGAATGACCAATTTCTTACACACAGTACACCTCCTGAGCTTGCTTTTATTCTGTTTCTTTAAAGCCTTTAGACGCTTCTGATATTCGCTAAACTTTTTCGATTCCATCTTACGTATTTTTGCTCGCTCAAGCACGCGCTGCTTTCTTTTTTCATGATTCTCCAGGTGCTTCTGTAAATAAAAGTGGCGACTGTATATCTTTGAAAATATATTGCATGGGAACATTTCTGGTCCAGATACTCTGTGACTTCTTTCAAGTGTTCTTTAAATGGTTGCAATTCCTCAAACTCCTTTTTACATAAAATGCAAAATAAAATCATTTTTCTGCTGGTGGAAGGTTGTCCATCTAAGTGCATGCAATTAATGTTTCTGTCCAAAAATGTGAAATCCTTACCGCATGTATTACATCTAAATATTAAGTCCTGGGGCCTCAGTCCATGGACTCTATAGTGTACGCCAAGTGACTTATTTCTTACTAGCTTTGAACATATTTGACAATTTGCATAAACAGGTCCTTGTTGTGTTGGTTGACAGTGGGTTGAGTTAGTTTGCATGTCTGTCAACATGGGTACAGGTTTTCTACAAACAAGACATATTGGTTGTGATTGATCCTAAAATGCTTCCTCAATTCATCGAATTTCTTGTATGCCGAATCACATAATCCACATCTAAAAAACCTTTCTAGTCATCATGAATTTATTTAAGGAGTTACTTATTGGTTGCCCGTTGGTTAAATCCTGCATGTTAGGGTAAAGTAATATTAAAGATAATATTTCGAAAGCGTCTTAAATCCTAATACAAATATTCAGTCAAGTTCATGGGCTTCTCATCTGAATTAAAAAATCCTTTTAATACTAGATTCTGAGTATTTTATTTTAATTTCCATCATTAAAATCTGCTACCAACTGCTAATACTTTGTATATTTTTCATTGCAAAAAAAAAAATAAAAATTAAAGCATTGAAAGATTAATAGTTCTGCATAATCACATCAAGTAAGTTGGGAACGGCTTGGAATAAATTTTCATTAATTATCAAACAAGGCTTGGATATAAGGGCAGTTATTTAAAAAAATGGATTATAAGTGAAATTTCTTACCAAAGAATGTCCATCTCATTTGAACAGAATCTATCTGAAATGATTCTTTTTGATAAAAAAAAAACTGCAGGTTTAAATGTTACAGGAACAAGATGTTAAGTCAATAACAACTTCTGGATCCTTTAGATTGGACAAATGATGATGAATTAAATACAAAATAGTACTCATCTCTTATATCTTTACCTGTTGAATTAGTTTCTGTTCTATTTTCTTCAGATATGTTGAAAGAGTTTTGGGAATTATGTTCACATATTTACTCACATATTTACTCATATAAAGTCCGACACTTGTGCTTCATACTTGGACATTTTACTTGAAAAAGACACAAATGGTAATCTAACAACCAAGCTATATGATAAACGTGATGACTTTAACTTTTCTATCGTCAACTTCCCTTACTTATGCAGCAATATACCTTCATCACCTGCATATGGAGTATTTATATCTCAGTTGATTCGATACGCTAGAGCATGCTCTACGTATGAACAATTTCTTAAACGAGGTAAATTATTGACAAGCAAGTTGATGAAACAATAATATCAACAGTCTCGTTTAAAGTCATCATTTCGTAAATTCTATGGTCGATACAATGACCTTGTCAGCAAATACAATTTATCATTGAATGAAATGCTGACTGACGTTTTTCATACCAATTGTTAGTCCATTATTTATACACTGAATTGACCACGGATTTTTTCCGTTATTTCCTGATTATGACAACGAGCACACGGCGGGGGGGACCGGTCGGCAGGGGATGCTCACTCCTCCATGGCACCTGATCCCACCTCTGATGTTTTGGAGGTCCGTGTTTGCTCTGCTCTTATTTTGTATATTTGTTTAATGGACGTTGAAATTGAATACTGTTCGTTATTTCCATATCCTTCTCATATTTACTTCCTCCGTATCATTTCCCATCTTTAATTTAAATAAAGCTCGGCCTTTGAGTTTGACCGCCTTTTAAAAACCTTATTCTTGGCCATATCTTTTAAAAAGACCTTTTTTTCCTGTGTTTTGAATTCGAACATATTTATTGACACCATGTCAAAGGGATTGGACCCAAATTTCAAAAAAGTAGACTGTCCTCTTCCAAATGAGACCCTTTAAATTTGACTTTTATGATTGAACTATTTAAAAAAAACATCTTTAACCTTGGTGAAAGTTTTTGAACAGTTGGTACTTGGTATTCCATATTTCACATATGTATTACTCGTGCAATGATCTTCCATTGGGTAACAGCAAATTTAACCCTTCGACAACTGACATTAGTATGATTAACTTTGATAAAGTTTAACTTTTGAAATGAGTTTCCGAACTTTAATATCAGCGTTCCAAAGACACATTTTTTATATACATATTTATTATTTACAGATATTTTTTTTCAAGTTTCATTTATTAAACATAATTTACAACATGAAGTAATGTAATTTCAGAGAAATAATGAATTTGATAAATGAAAAGCTTACATAAACTTAACACGGGCAACATGTTCAGTTAAGCCTTTTTGCTTTTTTGATGTGTCAAATATATTTATATGTACATTTATCATAAATTATAGAATATGTGTGGCTTCTCAATTGAAAACCAAATTTTGATTATTTTTGTCCTGTCTGTCTGTCTCTCAGTCTGTTTGTCTACAAACTTTAACCTTTGCTATAACTTATGAACCATGAGAGATAAGGACTTCATATTTGGTATGCATACTTCACTATTAAAGCTTCTTCAAATGATACCAAGGTCAATGACCTTGTGACCTTGACTGTGACCTATATGCTTAAAATAGCTTTTTTTCAGCAAACTTTACCCTTTGCCATTACTTTTGAACCACGAAAGATAGAGACTTCATATTTAGTAAGTATATTCCACGACTATAACCCTTTCCAGTGCTACCAAGATCATTGATCTTTTGAACTAGACTGTGACCTATATGCTAGAAATAGCTTTTTTGTCTTAAAAAATTAACCTTCTCCATAACTTTTGAACCATGAAAGATAGAGACCCCGTATTTGGTATGCTAATACGCCTATTAAGTTCTTTTGAATGACAACAAGGTCATTTACCTTGTTACCTTGAGTATGAAGTATGTGCTAAAATAGCTTTTTTGAACTTTAACCATAACTTTTGAACCATGAGAGATAGGGACATCATATTTAGTATGCATACTCCACTCATCAAGTTCTTTCAAATTATACCAATGATCTTGTGACCTTGACATTTACTTTTAAGCTAAAAATAGATTTTTCGAACTTTATGCCGCCGGGCGCAGTGTTTCACAAACACATCTTGTCAAATATTGAATGATAGGACTTTTTTTTGAAAATTATTTTTGTTGTTGATTAAGTTGTCTTAAAATGTATGTCATTGCATTTTTGAATTTTTAGCCCTATTTATATTCTGAAATATTTCAGGAGAAACATGTTCGCCGACAAATTTTTTCTATGCCGAAAAAAAATTATTATATCATTATGGACCGATTTATGAGCCAAGAAACATTGAGAATCAAAACTCGACTTAGACACTTTGGGTATAGTATTTGACACTCAATACCTCAAAAATAAGTCTAGTAACCTATTGATATATCTGGTTGAAGGTATGTGGGACATACTAAATTAGCGATATACAAAATATGAAAAAAAAAAATTGAACGACAGGTAATTTACTGGCTTAAGGTCATACTTCCCCTTAAAGTTGTGGATATCTTCAATTCGGTAAACACCAGTTACTTAACGGTTGAACGATTTTCTTACCATAACCGGAAGTCAAGTTTGAGTTTGCTTAACAGAAATCAAAAATTGCATGTTTAATAAAAACATTTGGCAATATTATGGAGTTTTAAGGGTTTTTACTATTCATCACAAGTAATGCAGCAATATTAAAAAAAAATAAACTCTCCTATCGTTTCCCGTAACGATGCTAAGTCTTCTTGAAAATTGCTTTCAATGTAAGTACGCATTTTCAGTGCTCTTGCAGGAAAATTTCAATGTAAAGGGAATGGAGAGTTGCAAAAATTCACTACATTACGTAAAAATAATTATTTAACTATTAAGAAGAAAAGAAGATGAATTTGGGAAACACTGATATCGATGCCGCTGTAGACGGGTATTGAGTTTTTTCAAATGCAAGTAAAACCAACAAAGGTCGAAAGGTCAAAATTAATCAAGAAATATCTCGTCACAAAGAATACTTCTGTGACCAATGAAAGTTTTATTCCTAACTGTTTGAAGGTATGGTTATGGTTGGAAGTTTTTAAAGTAGATCAAACTTTAAGGTCAAGGTCAAAAGTTTTAAAATATTTATGCCCACTAGAACGTCTTGTCCCATTAAAAATACATTAACGTTAAGCTTGAAAGTCATAGCACCCTCAGTTCAAATGTTTTGGTGAAGTTAAAGTTAGGTTTATTTGGGGAAAAGTGTGTCAAAATCAAAGGTTTAGCGGACTTATTTGATGGTATTCAAAGAAAGATTTGTCGCCGAAATATGGCTGTAATAATGCAGATATGGAGTAAAACATTAATCAATCAATTAATCAAGCAAAGAAAGATTTGTCTTTGAATACCTGTACCCCTTTGAAATATGAAAGCTACAATTATAGTCCAACAAACTCAAAAAGTTATGAACAAGTTGAAGGTTTACTGACAATAAGACAAACAGGCAGACAGACAGATCAAAAATGATATACCACTGAATCTATGAATTAAGGGACAAGAAAAAGTAGTTAACCCCTATTTAACTTTTATTTACGCGTATCTTTACCAGAGCGAGGACGGAATGCGAAACCTCCATAATAATAGTCTGAATATAGGTGAAAAAAATCTAAACAATTTATACACCTTCATACACTTTATACATTGACACATTGGATACAAGCGAAGCGTATCACATTCTTTAAGGAGAATGAAACTGGTGGTTTGTAAATACAACAAGGTGCAGGCAACAAAAAGACCCAACCCATGACAGATAAAGAAGTCATAAATTGCCCGCCATTTGTTGGAAACAAAAGGACCTGATTTCAGAGATATAGAGGGATTATCACAAGAGGCAAATATATAATATGAATTCAATCTTTTCTAGATCTATTTGAAAGATTGAAATTTTGAGGCTAATGAAAAAGAAATATATTTTCATTTTAAGGGGTCTTGAAATATTTGCATTGCTGTTCTATTTACGGTTTTGATTTCAAAATAATCTCTAGTTCCAGGGTTCTCCATGGGTTGTTTAGCGTGGTGCCTCCACCACAGTTGAATAAGGTAGCGTCAGAGTAAAAAAAGATAACGTCATAGTTAAATAAGGTAGAGTCACAGTTAAATAAGTTAGCGTCAAAGTAAAATTACAACCCCAAAGTTTCGCTTAAAATATTAACACCTCAGATATATTGACGTTGATTTGGTTTCTTTTCCCGTAATATTAAGTTACCTCAATCAGGACCCATTGTATGACTTCCAATATCAATTATCATTGAGACTTTAATATGAATAGAGGGAGATAA